GTCTGGATTCTCCGGTTGAATGGGAATTCCCAATTACTGGAGTAAGTCAGTCATGCTAGGCAAGGAAAGGCATCAAACTAAGTTCCTGTTGCTGACTGGTGATGCACATCTGCAATGGTTTATGCTGCAAAGTTCAACAACAATAATGACAACAGCTTGCATTGGTCTAATACCACTGATGTAACAAAGTACCCCAAAGCACTTCACAAGAGTGTTAGACAAACAAAACTTGGCACCACATCACATGGGGAGATATTAGGAGAGGTGACCTGGTAGTCAGAGGTAAGTTTTAAGGAGCGGCTCGAAGGTTGACAGGGTGATAGAGATTTGGATAGATTTAAGAAGGGAAATCCACAGGTCTGTTCAATTAGACATTTAATGCTCTCTGCCCCAGTGTACCTACACACAGAGGATAGGTGGCTGGCCAATGCTCAAAAATGAATGGTCCACTGGAGAAGGTAAGAAAGGAAAACTGGAGGAAAGGGCAAAAGTGTTGTTTTAATTAGGAGATTCTAAACAGATCTGCAGCTCCAAGGACAGCTTACTCTCAGGACTTCACTCAAATGCAATCATCAGAGGGAGTGTTTGTCTTGCAGAGGTCTCAGTATCCATTCAGTTCGAGGACTGAATCCATTTGTAACACTTGACCGTTCAGTAGCAAGAACTGCATTGTCCTATTCCTGCCCCTGGCTCCAATGATAGCTTCTCAACAAATAACATATCCATTTACCAGGGCATGGAGTGGGGGCCATTAGTGGCAGGTTGTAGTGGGGTGGTAGCTCTGCCTCAATAGATTTTCTAAAGTGCAGAAGTGTCAGCAAGTATTACATCATCTAGACATTGTTCCTTTACGAACCTTTTAAAAGATCCCCCAAAACTCTCGGATAGAAACCATACTTACGAGCAGTTGGCTCCATTTTATTTGTGGCCAATACAATATTGAATGTACAAAAGTAAGGTTCTGTGGATGCTGGAATGTGAAATAAAAATAGAACGTACTGGAGACAGTCAACAGGTCAGGGAGCATCTGATGAGAGAGAAACCAAACTAATATTTCAGGACAATAAGTATCAACCTGGAATGTTAACAATTTAATGATACTTTCCTTTACAAATTGATGAATTGAAGGAGCACGAATGTAAATGTGGTTATTTTCCAAGCCTTTTTATTTCTCAAAACATGATGTAATTTGGATCAAATATTATCCTTTGCTAAATGTGAAATATTACCATTTGATTTTGTGTACAGAAGATGCAACCCATTTAAACAGGATTCCTTCCAGTGTAATTGTTGTTTTCAATCGCGTTCCTCTTCCCAGTCCACACATAAAAAAAATTAAAAAGCAAAAACCGCTGCTTTTTTACAACAAAGGATGCCACATAATTGTTCATACTTTAAACCCAGTTCAAAGTGTTAGTCCAAATACTCGACTGAATTTTCAGAATACGCAGTTTCAGAAACAAATCAGCCCCTGTTATCTTCAAGCAAGTTTTAAATATGAGAACGAGTGCTGTAAGAAGCCCATGTGAAAACTTAATTCATTTTCCAGATTGTTCTAGTGACTGACCACAGGGTTTAGCTTACTGACCCGAAGTTATAAGGCGTATTGTGTTTAGTCGACTGTGGAATTTACTGTAGATGTTTTTGTTAAGCATTGACATTCAGTTTAATTTTCTTTGGTTATTTTTAATGCCGAGCCATCTGGTCGTTTTTAGTTTGGAAAGTCCCATAAAGCCCAAGGCAAAGGATACTGGGATTGAGTTCCGCCTCTTTAAAAGCTACAAAGCCATTAGTGCATTCCAGCACACCCTTTACAGCCAAACATGTGCTTTCTGAATGGAATAGCTTTGGGATTCATTCCCTGATAAATGACTTGGCTTTGAAAAGATGTTAGGTTTCCTTCCAAGTTCCTTCCAAGAGCAACAGAAAAGAAAAAGTGATTAATCGACAGCAAGATAATATCTCACATCTTGATTCAGTGATGTGAACGAAAGCCACTGAACCAGACATGAAGGCATTTTACCCACCCACATGCAACATGTGAACTCGGTCTATTAACTCTGCAGACTTACTCAGACTGCTCCTTTGGTGTACACAAACTACAGCTTTACCCAGTGGTATTCTCACAAAGGAGATTTTTTTTTTCAACTGTAATGTTTCCCTTCACTTCCAGTTATGAAATCTTGGTTTCTTCAGTTCCCCTGCCCCGCTTTCTCCTCAGTCGTTTTAAGTGGAATCATGTTAAGGAATATTCTCAAGAGTACAGGTGCCTTAGGATATGGATTAGTGAATATGGAATAACTGTTTGGCTCACATACATTTGATTCTGTACTACACAAAACTGAGTTCTGACTCAATTAATAACCACCTCTCCCCCACACCCAAGAGAATAAGCACATTTTCATATTTTAAAAATTCTGAATTTCTGCAAAAATCTTTAAAAATCAAAACTCCTATAAACACATCTGTTTATTTCACTTTTAAGGAGCACTTTATTTTAACTTAGGGCAGGATTTTCACATTTTCTTCTTTACATTGAGGGGCCAAATGCAGAACACCCACATTCTGTCCACAAAAATGACCCTGAGTTTCCAGTTGACTGCCACTTTAACACACCACAGTGTTCCCTGGCCAACATCTCTGTCTCAGGCCTGCTGCAGTGCTCCAGAAAAGCTCAGCACAAACTGGAAGAACAGCGTCTCATTTTCTGCTTGGGGACCCTGCAACCTCCAGAACGCAACACTGAGTTCAATCATTTTAGGGCCTGAGCACCTTCTTGCATGTCTTTACCCAACCCCCATACACCAGGCTTTGTTATCACATAGGCTGCTACCAAAAACAACCAATTATCAGCAACTAACAGTCTCCATTAGCAGCTATTGGTTCTCTCAGACTGACCATTACCCATTTCTTTGTCTGCCCAAATGTTTTTCTCTCTGTCTTCTCTCCATTTCCATCTATCATTTGCTCCTACCCCTGTCCCCACCCCATCTTCAGCATACATATCAATCTTTTCTTAGCTACCATCAGTTCTGAAGAAGGATCACCCCACCCAAAATGTAGATTCTGCCTTCTCTCCACAGATGCAGCCAGACTTGCTGAGTTTCTCCAGCCAATTCTGTTTTTGCTTTGGATTTCGAGCATCTGCTGCTCGTGGGGCTTTTTCTGTTTTATATTTTCATGGTGTTTGGGGTTGGACATGTTAGATCGTGGCTAACATACTAATCCCAATGCTGTGATAAATCACATGGTTACACATCAATCAACAAGTTCAGAGCTGATTGGTCAGCATGCATGAGTTTCTTGGCTTATCACAGGTCCCGACTCTGGGTCACCAGAAGCTGCTGGCCTATGAGAAACCAACAGCATAAGAGTCTTAAAAACCACCAGTTGAGGCTTACTCCTCAGAGAATCTAACGGCAAGAAAGTAAATGATTTTAATCTTCTTGTCACTGAGTGGGTGTTGCAGAGAGACATGCTTGGGGAAGAGAAGAGGTGGGGGTTTAATGGGAAATTCAGGGGTGAATTCCAGAGGCCATCCCATTGTCCTCTCTATCTATGTCTCTGATTGACCTCAGATTGGGTTATTTCCAGGCCCCACACCCCCAGTACAGAAGGCCAGTCACCATGGTTTCTTAGTCAGGAAACTGGTCATGTCTGTTGCATCCGGGATGGCAAATAGTTAAGGAGGGGATGAGTTGATGCCCATAATGTTGTTCTTATGAGAGCAAAATTGTTCAGATAAGATTTGATGAAGGTGTTCAAAATCATGAATGGTTTTGATGGTGTAAATAAGGAAAAATCACTTCCAGTGGCAGAAGAATTAGTAACAGGAGGACATGGGTGTTCAATTTCAGCTTTGGATGACTGTCTGTGTGGAGTTTGCACACTGATGTGCAGGCTAGGTGGGTTAGCCATGGGAGGTGCAAGTTGACAAGGATAGGGTAGGGGGTAATGGGCCTGGGTGGGATGCTCTTTGGAGGGTCAGTGTGGACTCGATGGGCCGAATGGCTTGCTTCGTCACTGTAGGGATTCTATTCTATTCGACACAAGTACAAGACAATTGGTCATTGAAATTTGAGGAAATAGCTTTTTTTAGAGCAAATTGCTATGATTTGGAATGCATTATCTTAAAGAGGTGGAAGCAGATTCTATTGTAACATTCAAAAGAGAATTGGTTAAATTGAATAGGAATCAAATTACTGGTCTATGGAAAAATGGCAAAGTGTAGGCTTAAGGTGTCCTATTAAAGAACCAGCAGAGACCAAAATGGCCATATAGCCGACATTTATACTGTATTCTGTGATTCTGAGGATGTACAATTCAAATATTAAGAAAACACTGTCTGTAATGCACTAAAACTTAGGATAGTCATAAATCGGACAAGATAGCCAGTCTAGCTGATAAGCTATTCAATGACACCAATGTAACAAGATATCTTAGCAATATGGTTTGATATTCATGCTGATTTTTAACCTTAATGAAGGAGAAAATAAATCCCTTATAGTTTTTTCACTTTTATAATGGTTCATAAAATCATTATCTACTTCTGAAACTGTGGTCTTCTAACAGCATATAGTAATTTTTGATTAATTCCATTCAACTCATTCTCTCCTCCCACCACTCTGCTTAGATTAAAGGTTTGATTTTTAAAATGCCATTTATCACAATAAATCCTATTATTATAACTCTCAGACATTACCTTAGCGCCAGCTAGTTGCAGGCTCTCAAGATGGGCCATCTGTCCTCACTGTTCAGCTTGTCACCTCAAGGGTTAGCTGGCTCACAGTGATGGTGTCATTTATCTGCAACGCTGGGGTGACTAGAATGTAGGTTTTCAACTGTGAGCTTCCTAACAACTAGCACTGAAATGTAGGCTAGTAATTACAAGTACCTCAGATCATTAGTAAACCTTCTACCACTAGCATACAAAGACCAGCGTTGATGGTTTTTAACCATTATCCCCCTTTATTCTTGCAAGAGAAAAATGCAAACCTGTCTCTCACCCAGATTTCTGTTTATTTTAAACCTTCACGTTCATGGTCTAAGATAATCACAGGAGATTACAATTCAGTTTGTAGTGCATTTCTCTTTTTGAGACTTCTTTTGACGCCAGCAGGTGTGACATTCCAGGGTGCCTCCTTCTCCATCCAGCCATTGAATTCACTTCCACATCAGTTTGTTTGTAGCAGTCATCCTATAAAGAAAATATGCCTTGGAATTTAAAGTTCAACATATTCAAAGATGATCCAGGGCTATGATTTGTTGCCACGACAATTAGATCATACAGAGTCTGGAAACTAAAGTCCCTGGGTTAAAATCCTAGATCTTCCTATCTAACAGCAATGTGGGGCCACCTTCGCAACACAGATTTCAGCAATTCAGGAAGATTCATCATTACCCTCCCACAGACATCAAGTTCTGGCACTGTATGTCAATATCTGCCTACTTCCTAAAAAAACATTGAAAATTACAACATTAGGAATGGATATTCTCTAAAAATATGTAATTCAAGTTCAATAATTCAATTCAAAATAGTGAACCTTTTCAAATAGGTTGGTTAATCAACAGCAGCAAGAATATGGCAAGATTTATGTCACACAGGAAGCTTCTTTTGAAGACGTGACCAACTAGATTGATAAAGGAGTAAATGGGGTGGGCATGAAACTTGCAGGTGTATTCAATAGGTGTTTCTCGGGGACTGAGCCACGACATATAACAATCAGGTGGGAAGAGGGAACAGTGTTAAAGATTATATAGTTATCATTCCAATTTGAGAAAGAATGGGAGTCAATTCTATGTTCATATTGATGCTTGTATTTATAACTGGTTTGGACTTGTATAAAGGCACACAGAATGAACAGAGGTGCATGCTGGGTAGCTCCATGCCCTTGTGAAGCAGATGGCACAATACTGTTACTCGATTTATGCTGATCCAAAATCTGTGAGGTCAGTTATCCTTGGCAATAGCCAATGAAATGTGCCAAGACCTGCTGTTGTGATTGCATGGCAGAGGATGAATGAGGCCAATCCAACTGTTGGGCCTGCTGATGTCCCTGGCACGCCTTAATACACCGTTACCACTTCAGCCATGAAATATGCCATTCAAATCCGTGGGACTCAGGCTTGCATTTCAAAAAGCCATGGGAAAGTTTCTATTTATTACTCCCTTTATATGCCTTCTCTTCTTTATAATCTTTTCTGTCTTGTTGAATTCTTGCCAATGCTACAACTTCAGTCTGAAGTCTAGTTGTTTTATTACAACACCAACTTTCCCCAAATATTTATTGATGCAGAAAAGTGCAGCTAAAACTAAACATTAAAAAATACTTTGAAAAAATCAGAAACAATAAATGAATAAAAATTGCCACTACTCAGCAATGCCTGACAAAACCCAAAATAACCAAGTTACACTTGACCTTTTAGTGCTCCATTGCACATGGGGTCTTCTTTAGACCAACTCCAGATGCATGTAAAGACCACACAGCATGATGTTATCTCAAATGGACAGAAATCATAACGTGCTTAATTTAAATCTATTCTAACCTTTGAAGTAAGCTCTTGCACATTTTGTGCAGCAGAACTTTTAACCAGCCTGAGTGGATGATCAGAAGATTATATATGGCACGAGTCATGCATGCACCTCACATACCTACTTTATATCTTGGATATCATTCACCTCTTCTGTGGACTTACAACTCATTCCCATCGGCCACATATGTCCTATTTATTCCTTTGCCTTTCCAAAGGATTGGTCAGATCCCAGCTGGAATTCTGATCAAAATTCTGACAGCTATTCATAGGAAGTGTTTCATTAACCTTGAGAGGAAGGACCTAATCTACTCAAGTGATGGTTGGTGTCAGCAAATTGAGCATAAGGATTAAGTAGAACTGGGTTATTCTCTTTTCTTAGTGAGAAGACAGTGAGCTGGCCTAATTTAAGCTTTTGTGATTATGACAGTCATTAATAAAGCTTAACCAAGCAAATGCTTCACCATGATGAGTAACTCAAATGTCAAAGATAGAAGTTTAAAAAAAAATTGGCTAATGATACAAACCACTGTAAATACTGGACACTTGCAACAAAAACTGAGCAAGCTGGAAACACTCAGCAGACTGGTCAGCTTTTGTGAAGGGAACAAGGAAGTTAACTTTTTGGATAAAGACTTACATCCAAACGAGAAAAAGTAAAATTGAGACGAATGTAAATGATAAACACATGAGAGAAAAATGGGTGAAATGAGGAGAAAAACTTAAGGAGGTGACATCCGCACAGATCGTGCATGGAATGCTCTCTCTAGTGGTGTGTTTGGAGGTGCAGAAAGTATTTAATCAAACAGGAGGGTAGCGGGTGGGTATTCCACCTCCATCATTTTCAGGGCAGAAAAGACATTTATGCTCCTTCCTGCCCTGGAACCAATAGAAACCCTTAAATTGACAAAATCACCACATAAGGGCCTCATCTTACAGCTAGTACTACGTCCTAGTTGTGGCGCTCTCATGGTGATGTGATGATGTGGTGATGTCCCTGACTCTGAGCCAGGGGAACCCAGTTCAAGTCTCAGATGCACCAGAGGCATATAGCTAACATCTTTGAAGAGATTGATTAAAACTATTGTATTCCCAACCGTGGGTGGGCCTACTGCCATGCAGGGCCCACAATGGTTAAAGCTGTAGGTCTGCCATCTCCCAGGGCTGGTTGATGTGGGTCCACCATCAAAAGGCACTCAGCATCTGACTGAGGGGTCTGACATGGGGAAGTGGGGCTATCTCAGGTGTCCCATGGAGAGCCATCCTCACCACTGTTGCTGAGTCCTCCTAAATTTCATGACCATCACCCTGTGAAAGCCAATCTGTGGTAACCTGGTTCTGCCCTTGGTCACTCTGTGATCCTGGGTCTTGTGTGATTGTCATTCTGGTAGCAGCCACCATCTCCCTAGTAAAAGCTGCTTAACAAAAGCTGTTGTCGATGTCCCATTTATCAACAGCTTTTGGAAGGGAGGGTATCCTTTGCTGTTGGGGCCTGGGCCAGCATTGTGAATTGAAAGGTCATTGGCCAGAAACGATGGGCTCGATTTTACCACCACCTTCAGTACTTTGAGATCAGGTCCACAGATGCCTAGCAGACTCATTCTGAATTCTGCTACAGCCAATTTCAGCCCGGTGCAAACATGGAAAAAAGAACTTAAGTCAAGAGGTAAGTTAAGTGTTACTGTCCTTAACATCAGGGTAGCATTTGACTGAGTATGGCATCGAGAAGCCCAAGCAAAAACTGGAGCCAATAGGAATTGGGTAAAATGCTCCACTAGTTGGCATCATATTGAGCGCAGAGGAAGATGGTTGTGGTTGTTGAAGGTCAATCATCTCAATGCAAATGCATCACTGCACAACTTTCTTAGGGAAATATCCAAGGTCCAACCATCTTCAGCTGCCTCATCAATGACCTTCAGAATAAGATCATAAAAGGTGATGTCACTGATAACTGCACAATGTTCGGCACCATTCACAATTTCTCATGAGGCTGAAGCAGTCATAGAAACCCCGCAGCATGGAAGCAGGCCATTCAGCTCATCAAGTCCACACTGACCCTCCAAAGAACATCCCACCCAGACTCAACTCCCTACACTAACCTGATATTTCCCACATCCAATCCACACAAGCTGCATATCTTCAGACAGTGGGAGGAAACTGGAGCACTTGGAGGAAACCCATGCAGACACGGGGAGAATATGCAAACTCCATAGTTGCCCAAGGATGGAATTGAACCCAGGTCCCTGGCACGACGAAGCAGCAGTGCTAATCCCTGAGCCACCGTGCCACCTCAGTTCATATACTGTCTTTTCACATGACAAGGGACCATCCTGCCATCAGCAAATGCCAGCCCCATAAATTGCCTTTAACTGGGCCTCGTATTATGTAAGTTGCTGCCTGCTTCTTTGAATAGTTCTAATCCAGCTCCCTGCTATTTTACTGGCCTTCTTTCCTTCATTTCCACCATCTAGTGGAGGGGACAAGAAACATTCTGTCCATTAATACCCTCTCTTCCTCCATAGATGTTGCCAGACCTGCTCAGTAGAGTTGTACAGCACGGAAACAAACCCTTCAGTCCAACTCATTTATGACGACCAGGTATTCCAACTAAACTAGTCCCATTTGCTTGCATTTGGTCCATATCCCTCTAAACCTTTCCTATTCATGCACCTATCCAAATGTCTTTTCAATGTTGTAGTTGTACTGACCTCTACCACACCCTCTGGCAGCTTATTCCATACACGTATCACCCTCTTGTGAAAAAGTTGCCCTTCAAATCCCTTTTAAATCTTTCCTCTCTCACCTTAAATTTATGCCCTCTCGTTTTTGACTCCCTGACATTAAGAAAAAGATGTTGGCTATTCACCCTATCCATGCCTCTCATGATTTTATAAATACCTACAAGGTCCCTCACTTTCAGTTTTTCTTTCAGCTTTCTAATTAACGTGCACTATTTTGCCTCTCTACACTGTGGCATACCTTGTTCACTTGGACTGTTGGAGAGAAGGTGATAATCAATAAAAGCCCTAATTCTCAGATTCAAATTTCAATGACTTGTACATTGTCTTAGCTTCTTCTAACAGTTTCCTGTTCTCTACCAGTTTAAAAGGAACATGAATATCAAACATTTTAATCTTCTTGCAATTCCTGCAACCCTAAAATCTATATTTTTGGCACATGTTTGATTTGCTGGTGAGATTGCTTTTCAAGTCTAATTAGAAGTGAGAATTTGAATGATATGTATGGTTTCAACTTCAGAAGCCCTAAAATTTTAAGCAGTTCTAATGCTATAGCCAGTGTCTCTTCAATAATTTCTGCCTTTCTGACCACAGATGAACTAAATACATTCCTCACCTCATTCCTAGGAGACCAGCAAGGATCAAAAGCATACTTGTCTGCCACCAATATCCCACATGCCACTAAAATTACCAGAGCATATAATCACTTCACCACCACGAAACCATGAGTGATTAGACCCACCACTGACCTGAACACCAAGAACCGGGGAATGTTCCTACCGTAAATGAAGCATGATTTACACCCTCCACTGACCAACAAAGGATGGTCTCCATTATGCACATGAGGAGTTGATGGAAGTTTTTAAATTAACACTAAGTGATGTAAAGATCACTTCCCATTTGTGAACTGTGGTTCCACGTAAGGGCT